GTGAACATTCCTGCACGAGTTTCTGCATGGACATCTGCTTTCATTTCTTTTGGGCACACACCTGGGAGCGGAACTGCTGGGTCAGATGGTCACTCTCTGTGTCCCTGTTTGGATGCCCTGAGGACCTTCTCCAAAGCGCCTGCACCGTTTCCCGTTCCTGCAGCAGCGTGTGAGGGTCCCAGTTGCTCCACATCCTCACCCACACTCACCGTCTGTCTTTGATTCTAGCCACGCTGTGGGTGTGAAATGGCTTCTCACTGTGGGCTTGATCGGTATTTCTCTGACGGCTGATGATATTGGGCATCTCTTCATGTGCTCAAGGGCCATTTGTGTGTCTTTGGAGAAATGTCTGTTCAGCTCATTGACCCATTTTAAAATTGGGTTATTTGTCTTTTTATAACTGAGTTGCTACTGTCCTTTATATATTCTAGGTATGTTTGTTATCAGATATACGATTTGCAAAATTTTCTCTATATTGTGGATTGTCTTTCTCATTCTAAATGTCCTTTGAATCCCACAACTTTTGCATTTTGCTGATGTCTAATTTATGCACGATAGAGTCTTACTAGATGGAAATGATTCAGACATTAACTCACATCCTCATCAATATTTTGGTTATCTAAGTTAGAAGCCAGCTGTCAAAGGGTCCGGGAGAGATTTGAATTAGTTCATTTCAAGATTCGCTATAGATCCAAAAGAACTCGTTGGGGAACATATCAAATGTCAAACATTCTTTATTATCCTTTTACTGCTCATGGGATCAGTAATCATAGCCCCTCTCTCATTTCTGAGATTAGGAATTTGTGTTTCTCTGTGTTTTTCTGAGCTAGCCTGGCTTGAGGTTTATCCATTTTTTAAATCTTTTATAAGAGCTAGTTTTTGTTTTATTGATTTCTCTATTGATTTCCCTGTTCCAGTGTCATTAATTTCTTTCTTCTTTTTGAGGAAGATTACCCTGCGCTAACATCGGCTGCCAATCCTCCTCTTTGCCGAGGAAGACTGGCCCTGAGCTAACATCCGTGCCCATCTCCCTCTACTTTATATGTGGGATGCCTACCACAGCATGGCTTGATGAGTGGTGCCATGTCCACACCAGGGATCTGAACTGGTGACCCCCTGCAGAAGCAGAATGTGGAAACTTCACCACTAGGTCACTGGGCTGGCCCCTAAGTGTCATTAATTTCTGTTGTAATTTTTATTATTTCCTCTCTTCTGTTTGCTTTAGGCTTCCTTTGTTCTTCTTTCTCCAGCTTATTGTGTCAGATCTTTTTGTTTTTTTAAAGATTGACACCTTGAGCTAACATCTATTGCCAATCTTCTTCTTTTTCGATTTTTCCTTCTTCTCTCCAAAGCCCTCCAGTTCATAGTTGTAGATCCTAGTTGTGAGTGTTTTCACTTGTGGCATGTGGGTCACCACCTCAGCATGGCCTGATGAGTGGTGCCATGTCCGCGCCCAGGATCCGAATCAGTGAAATTCTGGGCTGCCGAAGTGGAGTTTGTGAACTTACCCACTCGGCCACCAGGCTGGCCCCTTTTTTCCTAATATGTGCATTTACTGCCATAAATTCCCCTGCAGGTTCTGCTTTCACTGCATTCTGCACATTTTGATTAGTTGTATATTCATTTTCATTTAGTGAAAAATATTTGCGTTTTCTCTTGAGACGTCTTTTTTTCATCCATGTGTTGTTTAATCTGCAAATATTTTGGGATTTTCCAGCTACCTTTCTGTTTTTGTTTCCTACTTTAATGTACTTTTTGGTCTGAGAACATACTTTATTTGCTTTCTATTTTCCATAGTGACATCTTTCATTAATTGCGCCCCACACTGAATCGCTTGCTGGGCTGGAGGGTAACTGTGTGGCCTCTGTGCCCTGAGTCCTTGTCGTTGGTCCCACCACAGTGGCTGGGGTGCCACATGTTCCAGTTGGTCTGTCCACAACAAGGTGAGGCACGTGCACAGAGCATGTGCTGACTTTCAGAAACACACATGACGTCCTTCCCTTTCTAAATGCTCAGAGACGTCTAGTTGATGTTTGGTTTGTAGACTGTCCTGAAATTGTGCTGGGGCCACGGGTCTGTGTTTTCTGGAATCCGTGTGATCCTCTTTGTCCATGTCTTGGCTTCTGGCCCTTTCCTCGAAACTGCCAGGGCTGGGTAATCCATCAGATCCCACAAGCCGGCTTCCTGAGAATAGCGGAGTTCCTGCCAGCTCCTCTCAGGGGCCTGGTCATCTGGTCCCTCCCAGCACATGCACTGTGTCCTTGTGGTGTCACAGCCTCCAGCGAACACATGCCGAGCCTCCCCTAGACCGGGCTTGCAAAACTCCACCGTCACCACCTCACGGAGCTCCTGCACAGACAGCACAGCCAAGGTGACTGGTCCCACGATGGGGGCAGAAGCTACAGCTGGGAGACCCAGAGGCACGTCAGCCAACCCGGGGCCTCGAGAGGGGTTCCTGCAGGGTGTGAGGCTGGAGGGGGATCTTGAGGATGTCCAGGCAGAGGGGGCTGTGTGGGCAGAGGCCCTGAGCTGTGTGAATTGGGACCCTTCCAGGGCTCCCTGCACTGAGTGGGGTTGTCCCTAGTTTTGGACTGGGCCAGGAACGGGTCGCCCTGGATCACAGGGCCTGTGAGCCCCTCTCAGGAGCTGAAGTGGATCCAGCAGCAGCAGAGCCAGAGAGAGGCTCAGGGAAGGGGCATGACCATCTGTGCATTGGGATGGACCACGTGGGCTGCTGGAGGGAGGTGGATGAGGGCAGAGGCGGGGCCCATGCTGATGACCTTGGGGTCTGGTCAGAGGAGATGGTGGCCCAGTCCAGGTGGAGAGGAGGGGCAGACTCAGGACATAGGTAGGGACAGTGAGGCAGAGCAGGTGACCCCACTCTGTCCCATTCCACTTCTCACAGTTCCACCCCCACAAAGTCTGACCGTTTCATTTGACTTCTCCGAGTCCCCAACCCTTCCTGCCACCCTGGTGCTGTGTTCCTCTTGCTGCCCCTGAGCCAGGGGCCCTGGACAGCGGCATCCACCCTCCGCCTGGCAGAGCCATGTCTGACTCAGTGCCCGATGCTTGAGGGTGCTTCCTCTCTGGGGTCTGGGACTCCCAGAGACCTCGCCCCTGCTCCCTCCTGGCTGATGCCCAGAACTCTGTGACCCTGTGCAGGCACTGATGTCCCTGTTTGCAGCAGAACAGGCGAGAAGGCACTGGACTGTGGTCCCTTGGCCAGTGTGTGGAGTCCCACTTCCCTAGAGGCTCCTCTGAGGAGGGTCCCACCCTTTGAGTGCCACACCCAGCACCTCCACCCTGGCATGAACTCACCCTCCCAGAGTCCCTCCACCTTCCCTATTCTGTCATCTGAATTGGACCAGAGAAGCTGGGCCTTGAGGACTCACTTCTGCTCCCCTGGGGACAGAGCTGTCAGGAGGGAAGGTATCGCTCTGTCTTGGGAGACAGCGCTGCACCCCTATCTGGCTGGGGGGCTGTTCACCCTCCCCCTCTGACCACCTCCTTTTATCTGCACCCTCCAGCTTTCCCATGTGCCCCAAACTCAGGGAACCTGGGGGCTAAGCAGCGGAGGGGCGTGTCACTGGGGACTGCAGGGCTGGGTCACGCAGGGGAGACACCTCCTGGGCCTGGACAGCTCTGCTCTCTCACCACCTCAGCCCTCTCCATCCACTGGAGACCTGCTGGGCTGACGAGGACTGTCCTGAAGAGGAGACGGGGATGCACAGCCATGGTCACTGTGGGCCCTGTCTTCCAGCGCCTCCACTGGGATGGGGTTCAGGGGGCTGGGCTGGGACCCTGGGTGGCTCCCCCCAGCAGGCCCGGTGGTGGCTCTGTGTCTCTTCTTTCTGCCATCAGCCCCCTGCCCACTCTCTTCCCAGGCCCTGTGGGGATTGGAGGCCTGGAGTTTGTCTTGTGTTTTCAAGGCATCAAAACGGGCCAATGTGTGATATTCAATGGGACCCACAGGACCTGTGAGATCTGGGACTGGTGCCAGGTGGAGAATGACACTGTGCCTGTGTAAGTGTCCCCGACACCCAGGGCAGGGTCCCAGGACCAGCACAGCCTGCCCCTTACCTCCCCACACCTGCAGGAAGCCCGTGCTGGTCCAGGCTGAGAACTTCACCCTGTTCATCAAAATCACTGTCACCTTCAGCAAGTTCAACTCACCAAGTGAACATAGTGGGTCCTGGCTGGCCCCAGATCCTCCTTGTCCCCTGCTATTCATGATCCTCCCCCATCCCCAACCCTTCAGGTCCAGTGCCTTGGAGACCTGGGATGCCACCTATTTCAAGCACTGCCTCTACGACCCATGCTTCAGCCCCTACTGCCCTGTGTTCCACATCGGGGACCTTGTGGCCATGGCTGGTGGGGTCTTTGAGGACCTGGCATTGCAGTGGGTCCATGGGGGCAGGTTTCTTGGGGGACCGGGGGAGAGGCTCCTGGGCCCATGTGCTGGGGGAGCAGTGATGTGCTGTGTGCAGGGCGGTGCTGTGGCATCCACGTCTGCTGAGATGGTGACCTGGATACGGGGGGCCCCGACTGCCAATCTCACGACTCCCTCCAGCTGCAGGAGTGGAGCTCCAACTTCAGGTGTGGCCCCACTGCCCGCCTGCTGCTCCTCAGCCAGGTCCTCCCAGACCTGTCCTCCTGTGGTGCCCTGGACAGACCACAGCCTGGTCCATCCCTCTGGATGCTCTTCTGTGTGTGTGAGGGGGTCCCAGGGCAGGAGGGGGTCTCTGAGCTCCAGGTCCCCCAGCACAGGCTCCGTCCAGCCTCCCTCCTGAGCCCTTTGGCCACCACCCCATCTGTCCCACACCCTGCTGCAGCTGGGGCCCCTCATCCCAGCCCCTCCTCCACTCCACCCTGCCTCGAGCACCTCCCTCCATGGCACAGGGGCTTTCTTTTTACTTTTCCCTTATGGTTTTATCTGAAAATGTACAAGAATCTCTAGAAAACCTCAAAGATTAGTGCCATGAAAACTCATATAGCCTTCATCTGGGTTCATCATGATTATTTTTATTTATTTTTTTCACCATTCTGTCCCATTTGTTTTCTCTCTCCCTCTCTAGAGAGAGCTGGATATATTTAGATGGATTTCAAAGAAAACCGTTGGAAAGTAAGTGGCAGATATCTGGACACACCCCTCTCAACGCTGTCCTGAGAATGAGGACCTTCCCCAGGTGACCGCTGTCCTCTTGTCACACTCAGGAAATTTAACATTGGCAGATAAATCTAATATTTAAATTTCCCCAGCTGTGCCAATAATCCTAAATCTTTTATTTTCCAACCCAAGGTGCACTCAAGGCTCTTGCGTTGCATGAATTGTCGTGTCTTTAAGTCTCCTAAGCAGACCTGTCCCATCCTTCTGCCCCCTCATCATCCTCATGCAGACATGCACACAGCCACCAGGCCTGGAGGTGATGCCCATGACACTGCCCTCTGGGCCCTCCTGGCCTGGCTTCACTGGCCTCCCAGCTCTATGCAACCATGTGGGGCTGGACCTGCCCATGCCCTGTTCCCCTCCCTCTGGGCTCTCCCCACCCTTGTATCTCCTTAGAGCTCCTCCCTGAGCCCTGGGAATCCAGCCTGAGGGGCTCCCGGCAGGAAGTCTTCCCAGGCTCCCAGGGGAGAGCACATGCTCCTCTCTGGACCCCACAGCCCCAGGCTTCCCCACCTTCCCCACCCCCACTGCCTGTGTCTGTTTAGGGAGCCTTCTGTCCCCATCCCCTCAGCAGGCAGGGAGCTTCTGAGAGGCAGGTCCCAGCTTGCTTGTCCCCTGTGTCCTCAGCAATGACACAGGGCTGAGACCCAGGACTTGGGCTGGGGTGGATGGAGTCAGTGGATGAGTAAGATGAGGCCTGTGAGTGCCAGGCCACCCAGGAGTGGGCAGAGCAGCCACTGGACTCTCTCCTGCCCCAGGACAGCCACTCACCAGGGGGAGGCCTCAGGCGTGGAGGCCCGGAGCCTGCTCAGCTCTACGGGATCTGCTCAACATCCTCATCAGTAGACAGGTAAGGGTCAGGCCAGGACAGGTGTGGGCAGGCAGGGGTGAGTGTTGGGAGGGAGTGACAGCCACAGGCAGAGAGGCTCAGCCCAGGTCTCTCTCAGGCAGGGAAGTTCGGGCTCATCCCCACAACCCTCACTCTGGGGTCTGGAGCAGCCCGGCTGGGTGTGGTGAGTCTGGCCATTGTGGGTCCCTCTGGCTGCTGGTAAGCATGTGCCCCCCGAAAGCCCCCCAGAGCCCCCTGTGCTGACATTGAGTCTCGGGATGAGGGCTGTGTAGGTGGTGGGATGGTAGGTTGGGGTCAGGCCGTGGGTCTGCCCTGCCTCTCCCAGATCACCTTCTTCTGTGACCTGTTGCTGTTGTATGTGGATGGAGAAGCCCATTTCTACTGCAGGACCAAGCATGAGGAGGGCACTGCGGGCCTGCCTGACCCTGGGCTACACTTTGGCGGGTGGTGGATGGAGCCCCGTCCTGCTGTCCTCATCTGCAGGCAAAGGCCCCGAAGGGAACTGACAACCCTGAGCAGACAGGTGGCTTCCCCAACATCCGGCTGCCCAGGTGCCTTAGAGGGGGCCCAGCACCTGCCCCCACTACTGCTGCTGGGAGCTGGACACTGTCACCGGGGGCCTGGCACCCACTTGCTGGCCCATTCCTGAGGCCTGTAGCCTTTCTCTGCTCATTGGGTGTTGGGGGCTGGGAAGGGTCAGTGCCCCACCTTGGGGACTCACAGCTGAAGCCCTGGCAGGACCAGGGCAGGGGTGGGGGAGAATTCCACTCTTCAGCTTCCAGGCAGCCTGTCCCTCCCCCAGCTCCAGCCCCGGCAGGGGCCCACAGAAGCCAGTTTCGTGTACAGACTGCAGGGAACAGATGCAGGGCCCTGGTCCAGTGGGGCTCCGGCTGGGGCTGGGGCTGGAGACGCTCTCCCAGGCTCCGTCTCCAGTGTTCCCAGCAGTTCCCCGCTCTCCAGCTGTCCACCACACTGGCTGTGGTCACTTTGGCCCTGCCTGGCTCCCAGCCCTCCTCCCCCTGCCGGCACCCCCCTCACAGGGAGAGGCCCTGCCCTCTCAGCTGCCCCGCAGTGGTGTCTGTGCAGCCAGAGTCCAAGGCCAGGGAGAAGGCAGCCTGGCAGGAGGAGCTGTGGCAGCTGCTCTGTGCTGGGTTCCCAGGGCATGGCCTCTCCCAGCTCTGGGCCTCATCCATGAAGTGAGGAGTGTGGTGGCAGATGCTCTGACCCCCTAGTACCCCAGGCAAAGGTACAGGCACCTCTTGGGCCCATACCTTCTCAGCTGATGAGCACCAGCACCTTCCTGGTGGCAGCCCTTTGGCTGTGGATGGCTGGGATGGGGAGCTGGGTAGAGGGGTTGTTGGTGGGCATGGGGTCCTTTGGGACCCTCTGTCTGTCTCCTTGGTGACACCAGCCCAATGCCCTGGAACCTGCTCACCAGGCTTCCTGGGATTCATAGGGTGGGGAGGCTGTATATCTGCACACATGTCACTGCTGCCCAAGGTCACACCTGAGAATACGCCTGAACAGCTGCCACCCCAGCCTGAGGCAACTGCCCGAGGACCACGCTCTGACCAAACCCCAGCTGCAGCCCAGGGGCTGGAGGGAATGTTCGTAACAGAGGACATGGAAACCCCAGTAGGCTGGCCTGGTTCTGGCTCTGGAATCCTCCAGGGACCTGAGTCCTGCCTGCTGGAGAATTTCCCTGTGTCCTGGGCCTATGGTCAGGAGTGGGGAGGGATGGGACTGCAGAAGCCAAGCCCTCTCAGGGGCCTGGGGACCCCCAAAGATGGGGCTCCATCACCACCAGGTGAGCTGAAGGTCCCTGGAGCAGGTCCAGGTGCTTGTGCACCCACCTCCCCGTGTGTGTCCCATCCCGAGCCTTTGTCACAAAGCCCTGAGGGGGCAGCAGGGAGAGAGGCCGCTGGAAGCTGCGGGCAGCCCTGGGCTGGGAAACAGCTGCTGTCTTAGTCTGCACGCCCATGTAGGGTACTGTGTGCACCATGTGGGCCTGTGCCTGAGAGATGCATGTGCCCGGGCAGGGGGTCTCTCCATCCGGGGCAGGGATCAGGACATGCCCTGCTTTCTGGGAGCCCTGGGAAACCGAGGGAGCCCAGAACTGCCCTGCCCTTTCTAAGTGGCCTCCTTGGGGTCCAGGCTCTGCTTTCTATATCTGCCCCCAAGGGACATGTGGGGAGCCTTGGAGGGAGCCTGGCCCCACCCTGTGCCTGGTGTGTGTAGCTCCCCCCTGTGCTGGGCAGAGGGCACTGGCCTGAGGGCGGAATCCTGGGACCCAGGTCTGGCCATGTCCCTGACTCAGGGCCGTCCCAGGGCTGGCACCCTCACCTTACAGAACCTCGGCAAATGTGCTATAGGTTGGAGATAATCATCTACTTCCTGGGGACAGGTAAGGACTCAGGATCACAAAGACCCCCACAGTGGACACAGCAGCAGGCCACATGGCTGGCCGACCTGTTATTATTATGGGTCCCTGGGGCTCAGGCCTCTTCCCTGCCCACCCTACTCCACATGCCCAGGTAGCTGGACTTGGTCATAAACTGGATGGCGCTGGGCAGAGTTCACCACACGAGCAGTGGCCATGGCCCACTCCCACAGACTCGAAGCTCAGCACCTGGGCTGATGTTCTGAGGACCCCCCAGCATGGCAAGGTGTGAAAACCCGAGCTGCCCCAGATAGAGGGACTGCCAGTTCTTTTGGCCTCCTGAGAAGGTGGGGGAGGGCAGAGAAGCCCCAGTGGTCCTCATGGACTGGTTGGCTCCTCCATGTGGCCAGGCTCTTGGGCCGGTGCCTGGCTGGGGGGCTGCAGGGCTGGCACCATCTTCAGGCTGCTGTGTGTGGCCATCAACCTGGGCCGCTCCTGCTGGTTCTCCTTGCTGTGCCTGATGCCGTAGCCAAAATACACCACGAGTCCTGCAAGGGTGGCACAAGTGTGAGGGGCAAGTCGCAGCCCTGCTTACCTGCTTTCCTTCCTCCTGCGGCCCCCCAGGGTCCCAGCCTGGTCCCCACTCACCGATCAACAACCAGATGGAGAAGCCCAGCCAGGTCACATAGCTCAGGTGCAGCATGAGGAAGACGTTGAGGAGGATGCTCAGGGCGGGAGTCAGGGGCACCATGGGAACCTGAGGGGACAAGGGCAGGGCTGGGCTGGGCTGCAGGGAAGGGCTGCTGGCGCAGGGCCTGATTTCTTGGGAGTCCACAGAGCCTTTCTCTGCCTCTGGAGATTCCGGAGACAAGGGCCCACCCGCCATGCAGAGAGAGGGGTGTGGGGCACTGGCCTCCCCTGCCCTGCGGCCCTGGTGCATCCTGCCACGGCAGAGGAGGAAGAGGTGAAGGGAGCTGGCTGGGCTGAGAGTGGTAGGCGCTGGCTGGAGGAAGTACCTGAAAGGTGTCCTGCCGGTGCTGCTGCTGGTGGGCCCCCAGGACGAGGAGACTGAGCAGAAACGTGGCGGAGCTGAGCAGGAGCAGCAGGGTGTAGCCCCACGGTGGGAGGTGCAGGGCCGAGTCCCCAAAGACCAGCACGCAGTCCAGGGTGATGGCCGAGGCCACCAGGACACTGAGGGACCAAGCCACAGCGGCTCCAGGTCTGCACCCACCCAGGAAGCGGAGGTAGGGCCTCAGGGCTGGTCGCAGCTGCCCGGGCTCAGGGGCTGAGGCCTGCTCAGTGCCCACAGGGCTGCCTGGGCCCTGAGAACTGGATGGAGGGGACTTTCGGAAGCGTAGAATGATAATGCTGGTGGTCAGGACAGTGAGTTCCAGCATTATTCCGATGGACAGGAACTGGACCAGTGCCTCGAGGTCCAGCAGCAGTGCCAGGAAAGCCATGAGGACCCCAAATACCAGGATGCCCACCACAGGCACTTGAGTCCGGGGGTGCACGCAGGCAAACACCTGGAAGAAGAGCCCGTCGGCAGACATGGCACAGACCATGCGTGGCACGAACAAGAGGATGTTGAGCAGGAGAGTGATTATGGCTGTGACAGAGGGTGGGAGACTGGTCAGCATGATGCACAGGCCCACAGGGGCTGCTGCTGGGGGCCAGGCATGGGTGGTCCCTTGGGCACATGGGCATGAGTTTCTCTGGGCTCTGAGAACAAGTGTGAGTGTATGTGGGGTGCAGGATTGCTCCCCCTCACCACCCAGGAATGGGACATCCCAGTTTAGGTGACAGGCCCACTGGAGAATCTGATGAGGGCTGAGTCCTTCCGCCTGGAAGGATCTGGAAGCACATCCCCAGAACTAACGTGCTGTGTACAACTGGGAGGGGTGGTGAGTAGGTCCATCCCAACAAGCCCGGGTGGATAGTCTAATCATTAGCACCTTCTGGGCCCAGGATGCAATTGGGAGCACAGGCCCAGATGGGGAGATGTGTCCCCTGGAGGCCCCTCCACCCTGTTCCCTCCCACCTTGTCCAGATGGGCCCCTTACCACAGATTGCACCAGCCACCACGATGAAGGCTGCCCAGCTATGGCCCTGCTGATGGAAGGCATCAGCGAGTGCTGAGTCAGGGTCCAGGTTGTGCCAGGGCACCATGAGTGTGAGGACTGTGGAGACGAGGATGTAGGCGCCAGCCACTACACCAACTGAGATGGCAAGGGCCATAGGCACTGTTCGCTTTGGGTTCCGGGCCTCAACACTGGAGGCAGCAATGGCACCAAAGCCTGCAAAGGCATAGAAGCAGGTGGCGGCGCCAGTCATGATGCCGGAGAAGCCGAAGGGTGCAAAGCCGCCCTCCTCAGCACTCCAGTTGTGTGGGTGGGCCAGGACAAACCCCAGGATGATGATGAAGAGGATGACGATGAGACTGATGGCGGAGAAGATGTGGTTGACCCAGGAAGAGACACGACCTCCACAGGAGACGAAAGCCAAGAACAAAAGTATGATGCCAGCAGCCAAGAAGTCTGGGTACTGGGCCAGAAAGGGCACCTGCCAGATGCCCACATGGGCCTCGGTGAAGCTGCGGATGCGGTAGCTAAAGATGACGTCCAGGTAGCTGCTCCAGACGCGGGCCATGGCAGCTACACCAATGAGCCACTGGATGAGCACGATCCAGCCAACGAGGAAGGCCCACAGCTCGCCCGTGAACACATAGGTGAACAGGTAGGAAGAGCCCCTGCAGGGCACACGCACTACAAACTCTGCATAGCATAGGGCTGTGAGCAGGGAGGCCACGGCAGCCACGCTGAAGGACACAAGCACTGCAGGGCCAGCCATCCACTTGGCCACAGTGCCTGTGAGGATGTAGAGGCCTAAGCCAACCATACCACCCACACCTTGAAGGGTAAGGTCCAGTGTAGTCAGGTGGCGCCTCAGCGACGTCTCCCTGGTGGGCTCCTCCAGTGTCTTCAGCCGGTTCAGTTTCTGGCAGAAGCGCGCCAGGCTGGCGGTGCTGGGCAGCCCCCAGGCCATGGTGGGCAGCTGAGATGAGCACCAAGTCAGCTGCTGGCACCTATGAGGGTGAGAGAGGAGTGACAGGTTGCCCAGCCGGGTCCTGACCAGCCTTCAGTCCTTGCTCTGACCCTGCCCTGAGGACCCAAGCCTGGAACCACTGGCAGCTGCAGGGGTGGATGAGGCAGGCTCAGGGACTGGCAGCAGGGTGGGCAGGAGGCCACAGGGAAGCGTGGGGATCCCTTCAGCCTGCCTGTAGGCATAGAGGGTGTGTTTTGGAGGGGCCCTGAGAGTGGGGAGGGGGCAGCCCCAGGGAGCCCGCCTAGAAACCCCTCCCATGGTCTGGGATCCCAGAGCACGCTGGAAATCCAAGGCTTCCCAAGAACAGGGCCAGGCCCCCAGAACCCAGGATTGGAGTGACTCTGTGGCCCTGGGCTTTGCCCAGGTGGCCACCTGACGATGTTCATGCCAGTTTGGTCTACCATTTCACCCCACCGGGAGCAGGGGGCACCCTGGGCCCTGTGCCCAATGCCAAGGCCCTGCTTCCCTCCCCTGCACCTTGACACACTGCTGCCTCATCAGTGCCAGAGTCACTTTTGCCACACCCCTGTCCCTAGGTGCCCTAGGCTTCATGACCTCTCTGGCTGAGTTCAACCACACAGGACTTGCTCTGACTGCCCTGATGTCCCCATTGCTGCCTCTCAGTGCTCAGTCCCCACCCCACCCCTGGGCGCCAGATCCAGCACTGGACCCTGCCTCATGATCCCACATGCACTCAGACCACCCTACCCACAACTCACACGGTCAAGGCCAGAGCTCCCCAGGTTCTGGAGAAGCCCTATGACTATGCCCAGTTCACAGATGAGGAAGCTCAGGCCTCCAGGAAACTGACTAGCCCAGGTCACCGGGGTGGCCTCAGGAGGTGGGTGGAGGCTAAGGTCCAGATCTGGGAGGGATCTGGAGCCCACCCAGTTAACACTGCTGCTGATACCCTACATGATTCCTCATCCCAACACACAAACCCCACCAGCTGGGCACCATCCAGGCACCTCGACCCTGGGAGGTGTGGGGGCTGCGGGAGTCAGGCAAGACACTGGTAAGATGAGGGTCTGAATGTAGCTGAGAGGCCCTGGGCAGTCCCTGACCTCTGGCACAATGGGATGGCAGTAAGCCACCCTCACCCACTGACGAGGGAGTGCCCGGCTGTGGGGAGTGTTCTGTGAATTGGCAGAGCTCTTGCTGGCTGTTCTGAGCTTCCAGCTACAGACAGTGTCCTGAAAGGTGGCAAGCAGACCCCTGGGGATGACCTCCAGCCCTCCAGCTTGGGGTACCCCTAGGGCCCCTCAGACACCAATGGCAGCTCCTCCTAGCCCAGGAGTAACTGTCAAGCCTGGGGGAACTGAATGATCACTCCCCACTTGTGGATACCCTTGAGAGGTGTCGTGGACTAAGCATCTGCTCCATGCCAGTCCCTGCAAAATGGGGACACATCACGTATCTCATCACGTGACCAACACAAACCCCTCAGGCTTATGTATTTCTGGGACTGAGGGGTCAGTGTCCTTCTGCTCTTCCCACTCCTGTGAAAGTGGAAAGGTTGGTGTCACAGGGTGTGAACTTGTTCACAGCAAAATGAGGATAATCCATCCAAGCAAAGCAAAACCAAAACAGTCATCCTCTTCCCCAGAACTCTCTCCATGTCATCAGGTTTCTATGCGGTTTGTGGAATAGGACGTTAGGGGCACCTGCAGGCTGTCTGGCTCAGTGGGCTGGTGACAGGGGTGGACTCCCAGACAAGATGATGCCCTTTGGAGCACTCTGCCTTAGCCAGCCCCTTGCTCCATTCTGGTATTTGGCTGACATTGTCTTGAGGAACTTCTCAGATGGGCTCCCACTTCAATTACAAAACTGCCCAGCCCTCTTGGTTGGAAATGCATTTTTCTGGGTTTCTGTGAAGGCGTTTCAGAACAAGGAATGTCTGCTGTTATGTTTAGGTCACACAGGAGCGAGGTGCGGGAGGAGTCAGCCCTGCAAGCAGATGTTCCTTGTTCTGAAACGCCTTCACAGAAACCCAGAAAAGTCCATTTCCAACCAAGAGGCCTGGGCAGTTGTGTAACTGGAGCTCCCCCAAGGCCTGACTGATGGCCACCTGAGAGCTGGTGTGCAAGGTTTCAGAAAACTGACTTTTCATCTCCCCAGAGAGGGGTTCTCACCACACCACCCTTCACAGGGGCCAACATCCAATGGATACTCGTGGTCAAACATGGTAGATGCAGTCAACGGTAAGCTTCCAGGGACACAGCTGGGCCAAGTGCTGGACCCCACTGAGCAAGGCAGTCACACAGAGCAACACATGGAGATGCAGTGAAGAGAAAGCACCAAAAATACCAGAAGAAGAGAGAACACTTCCCACCTCGTCCTACACAGCCAGGAGCACCGTGACACAAAAGCCAACAAAGACGTCACAAGGAAAGAAAACTAGAGACCAGCGTGGATACAGATGCAGAATTGCTCAAGTAAATATTAGCAAATTGAATCCAGCAACATATAAAAAGGACCAAGGGGGGATTTATCGCAGGAATGCAAGATTAATTAACATATGAAAATCAGTCAATGTAGTATGCCAGTCTAATACAATAAACGACAAAAACCACATGAGTGTCTCAAAAGACACACAAAAAAATCAGTGAACAAACCTGGAATAGAAGGGACCGCCCTCAAACTGATGAAAACCATCCACAAAAATCCCTTGGCTGCTGTGCTCAGTGGTGAGAGACTGAAAGCTTTCCCTTTGCTCAGGAACAGCATCAGGAGGTCCTCTCACCACTTGTACCCAACATTTTACTGGGGGCTCTGGTCATGGCAATTAGGTGAGAACATGAAATAAAAGGAATCCAGATTGGAAAAGAAGATGCAAAACTATCTCTAGCCTCAGATGACATGATCTTATGTAGAGAAAAACCTAAGGAATCCACAGAAAAAGTATTAGAACTAATAAACAGTTTTAGCAAAGGTGCAGGATACAAAATCAGTATACAAAAATCATTGCAGGGGCCAGCCTGGAGGCATAGTGGTTAAGTTCGTTTACTCCACTTTGATGGCCCAAGGTTCACAGGTTCGGATCCTGGGTGCGGACACAGCACCACTCATCAAGCCACACTGTGGTGGCGTCCCACAGAAAATAGAGGAAGAGTGACATCAGCAACATGGAGGAGTGAGTAGTCTTCTTTGTCTCTCCCCCTTCGAACCTACAACTAATTGGACATTCATCAGTCAACAAAGGATATCCACACAGCATCTCAGGACGCCTGAGAGACCCGTGCTGCTATACATCGGAAGGTGGATGGACTTCCCCCCGGAAGGAGGTGGAGATAGGTGAAAACTCTCTGACCCCTAACCCCTGGACAGCCTAGTACCTGTAAGTGACTTGCTTCCAGCGGACACGCCCATAGCATTGCCAGGCACCAAGGGCAGGTGTGTGCATGCACTGGCAGAGCGATGGTGGAAACAGGTGACTACAGCCCTACCTAAGCCCTTGAAATTGCCCCTAAGCCCAGTGGGAAAATCCATGGTCTGATAGCAGCTGTAGGGAAAGCCTGTACTTGGCATTAGCAGAGAGGCCCCACCCAGCATTCAGAATGCTGCGAGGCTCTGGGACAGGAGGATCCCAGGCAGGGCAGCAGCACGCCTGCCGCCTCTGACTCACAGACTCTGGCAGTGTCCCAGGGGGGTCAAGGGACAACCAGTTAGCCTGTGTGAGTGGGTGGGGGCAGGCTGGAGCCCCAGTGGCCCTCCTCCACAGTCCAGGGGGAACATCCATGGTCCCACAGCAGCTACAGTGAAAGCCTCTGCACAGCGTTAGTGGAGAGGCCCCACCCGGCAATCATAAGGCTGGAAGGCCCTGAGGCAAAAGAAGCACAGCTGGGCGAGCTAACCACAGACTGCAGTAGATACCCATAGCTCTGCTGTGGCCCATAGTGGACAAGTGAGATCTTGCAGGCCCTGACAGTGACAGAGCTGTGAATCTAGGTGAACCTGCTCCTGGCCATTATGAAAGTCCATAACACTACTACAGACCCTAAGGAGGGAGCACGTATAGGTGGTCTGTGACAGTAGGCATGAGCAACCTGAGGCCCCTTTGGGATTGTCCCCACAACTGATGAGAGACCCCACAGGACCACTGTGACTATGAGGAGGGGCCAAGGTCTGGTCAGCAACAGGTGACAGGGATCCTGGTTGGTACAGATTAAACAGCTTCTCCCCCCCCACACACTCCAGTAGAAGCAAGTGGAAGCAGTAACTAAACTCTATCTCTATGCAGAGGCACAAATCCATGCCATCAAGCAGTATTAAAAAATATATTAAATCTCCAGAACAGAAGGAAAATGACAAGTACCCAGAAAACAATCCCAAAGACAATGAAACCTACAACCTGAATGACAATGAATTCAAAACAGCCATCATTGAAAAACTCAATGAGTTAAAAAAGAATACAGATAGACAACTCAACAAGTTTAGGAGCTAGTTACAAAAAAGCTTGATACTATAAAGTAGAACAATCAGAAATATTGGAGATGAAGAACACAATGGAGGAGATTAAGAAAAATCTGGACTCTCTGAACAGTGGGGTTGATAATATGGAGGACAGAATTAGCAATTTGGAGGATAGAAATATAGAAATGCTGCAGATAGTGGAGGAGAGAGAACTAAGAATAAAAAGAAATGAAGAAACTCTCCGAGAATTATCTGACTCAATTAGGAAATGCAACATAAGGATTATCGGTATCCCAGAGGGAGAAGAGAAGGAGAAGAGGGCAGAAAGCCTGTTCAAAGAAATAATGGCTGAGAACTTTCCAAACCTGGAGAGAGAGATGGGACTCCATGTGACAGAAGCCAATAGATCTCCAAACTTTATCAATGTAAAAAGACCAACCCCAAGGCATATAGTAGTGAAGCTTGTAAAAGTCAATGATGAAGAGAAAATACTAATGGCAGCAAGGCAGAAGAAAATAACCTACGAAGGAACCCCCATAAGGCTGTCAGCAGATTTCTCAGCAGATACCTTACAGGCTAGTAGAGAATGGAATGATATATTCAAAACTCTGAAGGACAAAACCTTGCAGCCAAGAATACTCCATCCAGCAAAAATATCCTTCAAATATGATGAAGAAATAAAAAACTTTCCCAGATAAACAAAAGTTAAGGGAGTTTATTGCCACAAGACCTCCCCTACAAGAAATGCTCAGGAAGACCCTCATACCTGAAAAATCAAAAAAAGGAATGGGGTTACAAAACCCAGAGCAAAGGAGATAAGTAGAAAGGCAAAGTGATAAAATTGCAGCTCTCCATCAGAATAGGTTAGCAAAGCCTAAGTACAACATTAAAGATAAAAGGAAGGGAAACACCAAGAATAAATATACTCTTGTCATTTTAACCACAAACTCACAACAGAAGAAAGAAGAGGAAAATAAAGTGACAATAACAACCTAGAAGGGGAAGAGAAAAGGGATGGAACGTCTTAATCTAAGGAAATAAGAAGCTATCAGAAAATGGACTAACTCATCTATGAGATGTTTTATACAAACCACTTGGTAACCACTAAACAAATAACAAGAATAAAGACACAAATTACAAACAAGAAAGCCAATATAGAAATCTGCCTACCTGAATTAGCAGTCCAAAAATCATGGGACGAGAAACAAAGGAAATGCAAGAGAACTGGAAAACAAGTGATAAAATGGCAGTGTTAGGCTGCCACATTTCAATAATCACTCTAAATGTAAATGCATTGAACTCTTCAATCAAAAGACACAGAGTGGCAGGATGGATTAAAGAACAAGACCCAGCAATATACTGCCTCCAAAAACACACCTCAGCCCCAAAGACAAACACAGACCCAGAGTGAAGGGATGGAAGACAATACTCCAAGCTAATAATGAACATAAGAAAGCAGGTGTTGCCATACTTATATCAGAAAAAATAGATTTCAAAGCAAAACAGATAAAGAAAGACAAAGAGGGACAGTATATAATGATAAAAGGGACACTCCACCAAGATGACATAACACTTATAAATATATACGCACCCAACACAGGAGCACCAAAATTTGTAAAGCAACTATTAACGAAACTAAAAGGAGACATCAACAACAATACAATAATAATAGGGGACCTCAACACCGCATTAATACCAATGGATAGATCATCCAGACAGAAAGTCAACAAGGAAATTATAGAATAAAATGAAAAATTAGACCAGATGGACTTAATAGATATATATAGAACTCTCCATCCAAAAACAGCAGGTTACACATTCTTCTCAAGTGTGCATGGAACATTCTCAAGGATAGACCATATCTTGAGAAAGAAAGCAAGCATCAATAAATTCAAGAGGGGTGAAATAATATCAAGCATCTTTTCTGATCATAATGTGATGAAACTAGAAATCAACTACAAGAATAAAGCTGGGAAAGGGGCAAAAATGTGGAGACTAAACAACACGCTACTGAACAATGGATTATTGAAGAAATTAAAGAAGAAATCAAATATTATCTGGAGACAAATGAAAATGAAAACACACCATGCCAACTCACTTGGGATGCAGCAAAAGCAGTCCTAAGAGGGAAATTCATTGCAATACAGGCTCACCTCAATAACCAAGAAAAATCTCAGATAAGCAATCTCAAACGACACCTAACAGAATTAGGAAAAGAAGAACAAACAAAGCCAAAAGTCAGTAGAAGGAGGGAAATAATAAAAATTAGAGCAGAAATAATGATATTGAAACAAAAAAGACAGTAGAAAGGATCAATGAAACAAAGAGTTGGTTCTTCGAAAAAATTAACACAATTGACAAACCCTTAGCCAGACTCACTAAGAAAAAAGAGAGAAGACTCAAATAAATAAAATTAGACATGAGAGAGGAGAAATCACAACAAATACCGCAGAAATACAAAGGATCATAAGAGAATACTATGAAAAACTATATGCCAACAAATTGGACAACCTAGAAGGAATGGATAAATTCTTAGACTCTTACAACCTCCCTAAACTGAAGCAGGAAGAAATAGAGAATCTGAATAGACCAATTGCAAGTAAAGAAATTGAAACAGGAATCAAACCCCCCCCCAAGGGGCCGGCCCGGTGGCGCAGCGGTTAAGTTCGCACGTTCCGCTTCTCGGCGGCCCGGGGTGCGCTGGTTCGGATCCCGGGTGTGGACATGGCACTGCTTGGCAGCCATGCTGTGGTAGGCATTCCACGTATAAACTAGAGGAAGATGGGCACGGATGTTAGCTCAGAGCCAGGCTTCCTCAGCAAAATGAGGAGGACTGGCAGTAGTTAGCTGAGGGCTAATCTTCCTCCAAAAAAAAAAAAACAAAAAAAAAACCTCCCCCAAAATAAAAGTCCAGGACCAGACGGCTTCTCCGGAGAATTCTACCAAACATTCCAAGAAGATTTAATACCTATCCTTCTCAAACTATTCCAGAAAATTGAGGAAGATGGAGCACTCCCTAACACATTCTATGAAGCCAACATCACCCTGATCCCAAAACCTGACAAGGACAACACAAAGAAGGAGAACTACAGGCCGATACCACTGATGAACATAGATGCAAAAATCCTCAACAAAATTTTGGCAAACCGAATACAACAATACATTAAAAAGATTATACACCATGATCAAGTGGGATTTATACCAGGGACACAGGGATGGTTCAATATCTGCAAGTCAATCAACGTGATACACCACATTAACAAAATGAGAAAGAAAAACCACATGATCATCTCAATAGATGCAGAGAAAGCATTTGACAAGATCCAACATCCATTTATGATAAAAACTCTCAATAAAATGGGTATAAAAGGAAAGTACCTCAACATAATAAAGGCCATATATGAAAAACCCACAGCCAACATCATACTCAATGGGCAAAAATTGAAAGCCATCCCTCTGAGAACAGGAACAAGACAAGGGTGCCCACCTTCACCACTCTTATTCAACATAGTACTGGAGGTGTTGGCCAGAGCAATGCGGCAGGAAAGAGAAATAAAAGGAATCCAAATAGGCAATGAAGAAGTGAAACTCTCGCTGTTTGCAGACGACATGATCTTATATATAGAAAATCCCTAAGAATCCATAGGAAAACTATTAGAATTAATCAACAGCTACAGCAAATTTGCAGGGTATAAAATCAACATACATAAATCAGTAGCATTTCTATACTCTAACAACGAGCTAACAGAAAAAGAACTCAAGAACTCAATCCCATTCACAATCTCAACAAAAAGAATAGAATACTTTGGGGTAAATTTAACCAAGGAAGTGAAAGACCTATACAACAAAAACTACAAGACTTGCCTGAAAGAAATGGATGATGACAGAAAGAGGTGGAAAGACATTCCATGCACATGGATTGAAAGAATAAACATAGTTAAAATGTCCATTCTACCTAAAGCAATCTACAGATTCAATGCTATCCCAATCAGAATCCCAATGACATTCTTTACAGACATTGAACAAAGAATCCTAAAATTCATCGGGGGCAACAAAACCCCCAATCGCCAAATCAATCCTGAGAAAGAAGAACAAAGCTGCAGGTATCACAATCCCTGACTTCAAAGCATACTACAAAGCTACAGTAATCAAAACAGCATGGTCCTGGTACAAAAACAGGTGCACAGATCAATGGAACAGAACTGAAAGCCCAGAAATAAAACCACACATCTATGGACAGCTTGTCTTCAACAAAGGAGCTGAGGGCATACAATGGAGGAAAGAAAGTCTCTTCAACAAATGGTGCTGGGAAAACTGGAAAGCTACATGTAAAAGAATGAAAATTAACCATTCTTTTTCACCACTCACCAAAATAAACTCAAAATGGATCAAAGATGCCGGACGCCATCCTGCAACCACTGCAGCCCAGTGACACAGTCTGGGCACACAAAGCACGGGAGTTACAAAGCAACCCCAGCAGGAACGGCCGAGGGCCCTCCTTGCTCAAACTGCTGTCACTACCACTGTAATAGACAAGAAAGACCCTCTTCTGACTAACACTCCTTCAACATCCCCAGGGCCCTGCTGAGGAAAGAGGGTTAAAGGGTCAGATGTCTCAGTGTGGAAGTTATATAGGAGGATGTGGGGACCTGTATGTGCCTGGTCTAGACGTACCTTGGCTCACCTTTGCCCCAGGGCTTGTTCCGTCCTCCAGCATAACCCGAGTCTCGTCCCCTGCAAAGAATACTGTAGAGATCTATAAATATTAACTGTACTTACCCAGAAAATGAAAAGAACAGTTCTTTCCCAAGACTGAATAAGGGAAGTAACCTTTAGAAATTGCTGATGACCCAAATAAATTAGGGAAGTAAAATGATATCATGGGGAAAAACCAAGCTACTTCAGGAGAGAAAATAGATGTACCCCACACGCTTATTTAATCCTCAAAATATATATAAACGTACACTTGACAATAAAGACTTCAGACTTGCTTTCACCAACTTGGTGTGCAGTCTCATTCCCTTTGCCAACGCGATTCATCCCTCAGGAACCTGGACTCTGCTGGAGCTGGACTCCGGCACAAAGATCTAAAGATTAGACCTGAAACAATAAGTCTTCTAGAAGAGAATATAGGTGGTACACTCTTTGACATCAGTATCAAAAGGATCTTTTCGGACACCATAACTCCTCAGACGAGGGAAACAATAGAAAGAATAAACAAATGGGACTTCATCAGACTAAAGAGCTTCTTCAAGGCAAGGGAAAACAGGATTGAAACAGAAAAATAACACACTAGTTGGGAAAAAATATTTACAAATTACTTATCCGACAAAGGGTTAATCTCCATAATATATAAAGAATTCACACACCTCAACAACAAAAAATCAAATCCGATCAAAAAATGGGCTGGGGACATGAACAGACATTTCTCCAAAGAAGATATACGGATGGCCAGTAGACATGTGAAAAGATGCTCATTGTCACTAATCATCAGGGAAATGCAAATCAAAACTACACTAAGATATCACCTTACACCCATTAGAATGACAAAAATATCCAAAACAAAAAGTGACAAATGTTGGAGAGGTTGTGGAGAAAAAGGAACCCTCATACACTGTTGGTGGGAATGCAAACTGGTGCAGCCACTATGGAAAACAGTACGGAGATTTCTCAAAAAATTAAAACTAGAAATACCTTATGACCCAGCCATCCCACTACTGGGTATCTATCCAAAGGACTTGAAGTCAGCAATTCCAAAAGTCCCATGCACCCCTATGCTCATTGCAGCATTATTTACAATAGCCAAGACATGGAAGCAACCTAAGTGCCCATTAACAGATGATTGGATAAATATATGGAATATAGAATGGAATACTACTCAGCCATAAAAAAGGATAAAATCATCCCATTCACAACAACATGGATGGACCTTGAGGGAATTATGTTAAGTGATATAAGCCAGATAGAGAAAGACGAACTCTGTATGACTCCACTCATATGAGGAATTTAAACATGTGGACAAAGAGAACAGATTAGTGGCTACCAGGGGAAAGGGGGGTGGGGGAGTGAGCACAAAGGGTGAAGGGTTGCACTTACAACACGACTGACAGACACTAATGTACAACTGAAATTTCACAAGATTGTAACCGATCATTAACTCAATAAAAAATTTTAAAAAAAGGCTCATTGCATGGAGTTGCTATTGGAATAAATATACAAATGGAGATCATCCTCATCAATGGTCCGATGATGGATGCTTTGAATTGGAAAAAAGTCTATATTTGAAAACTATTTGAGAGCACTCTCCTCACAAGCAGCTGACATTGATATTTATGGGAAGATCAAATTGAAAAGAAAACCCCCCAAAATATAACGGCTAGCCTTAGGGAATCCCTTAATAAAATGAAAGACCAGAAGTCACACTTAGAACAAAGATTAAAAAGCAAATTTAAGGGAAATTCCCCTTCTCCTCCCTCCTATGCTCCCCTGTACCCCCAGCTCCCTGTCCCTGAGCCCCTGGAAGATCTGGGGGGGTCTCTGGGTCCCTGGTTTCAACTCCCCTTCTCAAGACTTAGCTCCTCAGTCAGTTCCCATAGATCCTAAAACCCCAACTCCTCCAGACAGCATCCAGCTGCCCATCTTCACTCCCCTCTCTTTAGGAGACTCACAGGGGGCCCTCAGGCCTGACCCCCAAGCTAGGGGCACACAGGTCACTGGTGTAAATGCTGAAGCCAGGAAGTGAATTCAGTGGAAGCAGCCAGGAAAGGCAGGAAGGCTGATTTGCTGCCCCTTCTAAGTTCTCCTGCTTTCCAGGGCTCTGTCATCAGGCTCTGCCAGCGTCAGGCAGTCCATGCAGGGTCCCCTGTGGATGTGCCCTGGACCTCCACTGCAGACAGTTCATGTCCCCTGGACACAGCCCATCTATGAAATTATAAACCTCTCCTGCCTCCATGGTCAGAAGATCCCACTAAATTTAGAGAGGACATAGAAAGGTCAGTGGCTGTTCATAATCCCACCCACGGAGATCGTGGCTGGCTGCTAAGGGGGTTCTTCCAGCCCAGGATTACACTGTAGTTATCACACAGGCCAGGGGGCCCCCTGGAGGAAACCCCCTCACAGGGGAAATAGAGGGCCAGACCCTCTCCCAGGCCCTCCTGCAAGTGACCAGGAAGTGGCTCTGCTCGAGGATGACACTCAAGGGTGAATAGGAGCCATTTTAGAGCTGTTTCCTCCTAAAGTTAATTGGGCAAAAATGGAATCATGCACTCAGAATGAGGAACATCCAAAGGCCTTTGTGGAACATTTCATACAAACTTTTCAAAGCCGCAGTGCATTGAACCCGGAAGCCCCAAACACAGGAATTGCCCAATTTCTGCTTTAGTAGGAAATTTTCTTCCTGATATAAAAAAAGAAACTCAATAGTGTGGTTGGTGGGTCAGGGCAGCCATTATGCATAATAATGGAGGCTGCTACACAGTTCTTTGAAAATAGTCAGCAGGAAAGCAGAAGAAAAAAAAGAATTAACAGCAACTCTTCTAGCTTTACAACTTGAATCTTTAGAGAAGGAGAAATGTAACTGTGAGAGGAAACTGAAGCCCACTCAGAGGGCTCCCTATTCACCTCCAGACACTTGCAGGTCTTGCAGGAAACCAGGGCATTGGAGAGAGATTGTCCTGCTCCTTTTTTTTTTTTTTTGAGGAAGATTAGCCCTGAGCTAATTGCTGCTAATCCTCCTCTTTTTGCTTAGGAAGACTGGCCCTGAGCTAACATCTGTGCCCATCTTCCTCTACCTTATATATGGGACGCCTACCACAGCATGGCTTGACAAGCGGTGCCATGTCTGCACCTGGGATCTGAACCAGCGAACCCTGGGTCGCTGAGAAGCAGAATGTGCAAACTTAACTGCTGCACCACCCTGCCAGCCCCAGAGAATGAGTCTTTAAATGATGTCCCCATTAGTCTCTGTGCCACAGATGCAAATGAAGTAGGATTGTTACCATGCACATTACTAAGACAAACAATGAACTGTGTATATCAGAAGTCCAATACGTGCTCTGCAGAGACACAGAGTGAGGAACTGAACCTATAAGAGACCCCCTTGTGCAACAGGGTGGACTAGTTCTTACTTCCTTCCCCTGTAACACTCCAATCTTGTGACAAACAAATGACAAACAATAAGATATATGGAGTATATGAGGAAGCCATTTTGGTTAAAACTAACTCAGCCTGGCCTTTTTTTCCTAATAGGGTCTGATGTGGCCTGTTGAGCATGGACTATAAATCTGCTTTAAGTATTTACTACGTCCCAAAGAAAAGAACAATGCCCTTAAAGATAAGGATGTAACTTGCCCATCAGCATTTCCTTAAGTATAAGCATCTCTCCCTACACCTAGGATTGATCGCTGACCTGCTGCGCTCACCGTGTGACCACCCACTTTGCAACCACAGACCTGCTGTGTTCACCGAATTGCTGTGCCAGCAAAGCAATCTCATGGCTATTGGAAAAGGCACGTTCCATTCACGTGTGCTGCACACTCTTGGACAGTATATAACCACTCTGTACACCCCCACTTCTTCGGAGTGTTCCCTTCCTTTGTGAAAGGGCTCTTCTGAGCTATATGGTCCTCAGGGCTGGCTCATAATAAACCCACTCCAATTTTCATATCTAGATTGGTTATGGATTATTTGCGTCGAGAATTGCCAGTGAAAAAAGAAGGCAAGTTTCACTCAGATGGGAACCAAGTCTATAGATTTGTTCTAGGCTTCAGACATAAAGTCTTGTAATTCCTGTCATCCTGACCTCAATTCCTGCTGGTACAGCCTGGGTGACAGGAGTTGACCTCTGCTCAGCATTCTTTTCAATTCCTTTGCACCCCGACTCACAAGTTCTTTTTGCATTTATGCTTAAACGGAGGGAATTAACATGGACTTGCCTTCCTCAGGGATATTGTGAGTCCCCCTCATATTTTCCCCAATCCTACAGCCCACGTGGATTCTGTAGCCTTCACTCAAGGCTCCACTCCTGTTCAGTATGTGGACGACCTTCTACTCTGTAATCAGAGTAAACAGGGAGCCCTTACAGACCCCTCACTCTCCTGAAGGCATGAGCTGCTCGAGGCCATAAAGCCTCCAGATCTGAACCTCAGCGGGTGCAGACGACTGGGACCTACTCGGGACAGGAGCCATGTCAAGGCATTCAACAGCTCATCCCAAATGCCTTGAGTCCATTTTTTCCACCCTTCTCCCCAAAATGAAGAAACAGCTACGTAACCATCTAGGGGCAGCTGGTCACTGCCCCAGTGGATTCCTGATTCTGCAGCCTTTGCTAACCCTCCATGTGCTCTTCTCCCAGACATCACCCCACAGCCTATTTCCTGGCCTTCAGAGCCATGAAACTCCTGTGAAGCCTTAAAATCAGCTTTGTCCACAGCCCCGGCTCTTGGCTTACCAAATTTTGACAAACCTTTTCATCTATACTGCCATGAAAATAATGGAACTTCTGCCCGCATTCTAGGACAGTCTTTTGCCTCTCAGACACGTCCTATAGCATATTTTTATGCCAGCTAGACCCTGTGGCATCATGTATGCCTCATGCTTATGTGTGGTGGCCACAGCTGCTACGCAGATTGACAAAGCCAGTACTCTAACATTAGGCTCTCCCAGTCATCTCTATGTTCCCCAGGCTGTGTCTACTCTTTTCCAAGTTCACAGGAAACAACACCTCTCTACAGATCCATACACCACCT